AGCTCCAAACGATCTGACAGTTCTGTCATTCCTAGAAGCACATGGATGTTTTCAGAGGACAATACAAGAAGGCGCAGAGCGCAGCAATGCAAGCGAGGTGTTCTGTGCCACTGAGCTGTACAGAATGTTTTGGTTTAAATAAATGCTTTATCAGAGGGATTTTGAAACTGGCGTTAAGACTAGCGTGTCCATCTCAACACTTTTGGCCCAGTTTAGACAAGCTACCCCGCTGCCGGTACTCTAGCCACCTGAAGGCATTAATTTGAAGGAATGGCTTAATGGTTAGAGCTAGGATTCACTGATCGGATGGTTCTCTACACCCCGACCTCTCCTGTCCAGGCTTGGACAAACGGGCAGTATCCCAGCTCTTCTTCGGTTGGCATGGCAGCCAGATGCTAAAGCTAACCAATTTTATTATTTTTATTGAATTTGTCAGTCACTTGATGATTCTTTGGGCCTTAGACTGATCTTTCCAACCAAAGATTAACTCGAACTAAACGGGCTTTGGTCGGCGTTCGAGGGTATCGACAGTTTCTGTAGTTTTGTGCCGGAGTCGAAAGAACGTCAAGCAGAATAATCGATTTTTAGAGTCAGTTTTTACTCCATATTATTCTCTGGCTGTTACTATCCATTTGGAGTATGGACAATAAAAATTGAATCCTCCCATTTTTCTAAGTGGTCATTTTACCTGCGAAATTTTATCAGTTAAAACATGTTGCTAAAACCAGTCTAACATTTCCAATCAACCAATTATTCACCTTACTTTGGGCCGCTTGATTGACTTGAGTCACATGCGTTTTTGTCACGTAAAGAACGCTATCTTAGATAAAGTGGTGGAGACAAATTCACTAATTAACCAATGTTGGTATTTTTATCAGCTGTAAAACCCTTAATTCAAATACTTAAAAGATCCACTCCCGCCTGATAGTCGTGCATGTTACTGGAGCGCAATTCCGGTGTTTGATAAATTCCTTAGTTTTCTGGGTCTTGAATTTTTTAAAACTGTTGCTATTGCAACGAATGTTTTGTCTTTATCTTAAAGAAACAACCCATGTCTGAAACTTAAGCCTTTGCTGTGTGTTGGGATACAATCTAGCTGATGTTGCCTGAAAAATGATCTACCGTGTGCTCGCTAGCAACATTCAGGGATGAACGAACTAAGATACACATGATCTGAGATAGTCGTCGGAAGAAAGAGCACGGCTAATGTTCTGTGGTCTCATTGTTTTCGACCATACAGTGACTCTTACGGCCACAGTCGCTAGCATATTTGTGCTAAGTTAGCACTGCTCCGTTATATACATTCAGCTGAATTAAACAATCCTTATTTTAGGCGTGAGGCACTAGAATTTCCCGTTATCTTACAAGACAGACTACCTCTTTTTGGGAAGATGTGTTTACCTTTTGTCAACCGGGACACAGTGGACCCCTAGCTTGGCACTGTCTCCTATTCAGAAGTGAAAAATCCGGCAATACCTCTCCACACCATTTGACCACGTAACGCGTAAATCAATTTACAAAAATGGCTTAGAAAACTGTTTGGTTTATATCACCCATGGACTGTCATTACAGACTGCAAGAATCAAAATTCAGGAAGTAGTAGATGTTCCGCTGCATCCCGGACTAAAAGGGCTGATGAATTTTACGTCTTTTGTGACGTGGATTTCGGATAGAAAAATGGCTTCAAAGTATGGTCCATGGTCATATTGGGTGGGTACACAGGCTTTATTTTAGGGCAAGCTCCTAAAGGTGGTCGGTCACCAGGGCAGTTCCATGAAAGGTCAATCGAAGAAAGCCAAAATTGTGGTATAGGTTCTCTTGCTGACGGATGTTTTTAGGACTGAGTAACAATTATTTTCTTGACGTCAAGTAGGTAAACCTGAGTACCGAGTTTGCAGGGGTCAACGTAAGAAGCCTCAGAAGACCAAGTCACGTGGGATAGATAACTGATATGCGGAGTCAAAAAGAAGGAGGTCATGTGGGGTAGGAACCGACAATTAATTAGATTGATCGACTACTGACTGTGTGGCCACAAAACTCAAAATGGAGGATAGGGAAATCGAAGAAAACTAAGGAGAGTGTATTGTAAAATTTGCTTGTTTCATAAAATGAAAAAAAAATGCAAAATCAAGGCAACAATTTATCGAGGCCTAGTTGTACCAGACCAACGCAGAATAGCACCTGTAGTGCTTTATAGTTCAAATCCATGAGTTATATCCAATCCTCCTATTTACTGTCAGAAATTACGAGGTAATCGGAGGAGGCCAAATTTATTTGTCCAATGATATGCAATCGCAGAAAATAGTTGACCGTATTGATTTTTGAGTTTTAAACACTTTAAAGATAAATGAAACAGTAATATCTCTTCAGTCACTTACAGAACGCACTTAAGAGACGGAAGTTTGTAGACATAAGAATGATAGATCCGTTATCTTGTTATGGGCAAACTGGTTATCAAGGCCTAGTTGTACCAGACCAACGCAGATTAGCACCTGTGATGCTTTATAGTTCAAATCCATGAGTTATATCCAATCCTCCTATTTACTGTCAGAAATTACGAGGTAATCGGAGGAGGCCAAATTTATTTGTCCAATGATATGCAATCGCAGAAAATAGTTGACCGTATTGATTTTTGAGTTTTAAACACTTTAAAGATAAATGAAACAGTAATATCTCTTCAGTCACTTACAGAACGCACTTAAGAGACGGAAGTTTGTAGACATAAGAATGATAGATCCGTTATCTTGTTATGGGCAAACTGGTACTGATGACCCAGTACGAAATACGCGCATCTAGCAGTTATCGTCTCTCAACCGTGTTGTTTAAACCTGGAAAACTTCATACCCCGATCACCATTTAGATAGTATAACTGCAGATCGGCATTCTCCTCCGTTTAATGAGATTTTGTTCCCTCACTGTTTGAAGAGGTTTTAGACTCTTCCAGACATTTGAAACTTTACCCCCAAGTCCCAGTCACCTGTTGTCCAATGCTGTTGATTCTTTGTTTCCGAAATTCCCACCACAGAAAATAGCTGTTTATCTTTGTGATTAAATTAAAACACAGTGGTTCAATGGGTGTTCCAGTTGAATTGCAAGATGACCCCCTGTGGCTGTGCATACTAATTTTTCTTTTTAATTTTGAATGCAACGCATGAAACCGGGTTGTGTGGGTTCTTGGTTTATATTTACTGAAGAGAACTGAGGAACAAATGTGTGACTATATCTTACTGGCAGTTCCGCATCGGATGACAAGCTTAGTTTATTTGTCAAAATTCCGAATAATGTTTCGTCCAAACTGATAATGTCTTTCATGGTCGAGTGGAATGTAAGTTGGTGACCTAGAGGAACCCTAGAACAAAAGGCCGGAAGTATAAGCAAAAGCAGTGACCAACTTTTGCAGTTCGGCAGTTTCTCGCTAATGATTGGCAAGAACTATTTCGTGGGTTGGGAAACATCATCACGTCAGACTGGGTAGAGATGCTGGACGACAGTTATTTATCCGGAGAGGGCGATCAACTTACTTACTTACGAGCAGTTTTAAATTGAACGCAGACCCTATTAAAAACGTCATACCCTGCAAACTGCCAGCGACTGTGGTTCCCCGGCTGTTGAACTACGCTTAGTCTTCGCTCCTGGAAAAATGGTGCCTCAGACATAGTCCCAAAGTAGGTGAGACCAGTCGGCGGCACATTTCACCCAGCGCATCATTTCCATTTGTGGAAGAAAGGATTGGATTTCGTAAAACTTGCCAAAATCCATTCAGCTAGCACAGCACAGTCCATGACCACTTGCATCATTGTTTGGATGGCACTTTTCCAAAACAAACTACCTAGCCAACACATCTTGGGTAATAAGAATTGTGGCGAACAACTAAAACTCGATACTCTGTTATAGCGGAGCAAAACTAACCAGAATGAAGTGGAAAACACGGTGCCTGCCCATACCCTGATCTGACACGTTTTCGGAAGACCTAGTGTGCCAAACCTATTTCAGTCGCCGTTAATGTCTCCTTTACGTTAAAATTTAGTTTCTATCGGGAAATATCGACATTATGCAAACTCTGTCTTCCCGTTTCCTTGACAAAGACATGTTTTGTTCACTGACAGTCTTCACTGGTATAACCAGACAGATACACATACTCATTGGTCGAACTCTCAACTGTTAGGGAACCGGGTACGAAACGTGAAACTTCACAGTTCGGCATGATACAAGCAATATCAAACATACTTACTCCGGCTATACATTGTCGAATTTCGTTAGTGGGAACACGATCCGGAGAGGTCAACTTACTTACTTACGAGCAGTTTTAAATTGAACGCAGACCCTATTAAAAACGTCATACCCTGCAAACTGCCAGCGACTGTGGTTCCCCGGCTGTTGAACTACGCTTAGTCTTCGCTCCTGGAAAAATGGTGCCTCAGACATAGTCCCAAAGTAGGTGAGACCAGTCGGCGGCACATTTCACCCAGCGCATCATTTCCATTTGTGGAAGAAAGGATTGGATTTCGTAAAACTTGCCAAAATCCATTCAGCTAGCACAGCACAGTCCATGACCACTTGCATCATTGTTTGGATGGCACTTTTCCAAAACAAACTACCTAGCCAACACATCTTGGGTAATAAGAATTGTGGCGAACAACTAAAACTCGATACTCTGTTATAGCGGAGCAAAACTAACCAGAATGAAGTGGAAAACACGGTGCCTGCCCATACCCTGATCTGACACGTTTTCGGAAGACCTAGTGTGCCAAACCTATTTCAGTCGCCGTTAATGTCTCCTTTACGTTAAAATTTAGTTTCTATCGGGAAATATCGACATTATGCAAACTCTGTCTTCCCGTTTCCTTGACAAAGACATGTTTTGTTCACTGACAGTCTTCACTGGTATAACCAGACAGATACACATACTCATTGGTCGAACTCTCAACTGTTAGGGAACCGGGTACGAAACGTGAAACTTCACAGTTCGGCATGATACAAGCAATATCAAACATACTTACTCCGGCTATACATTGTCGAATTTCGTTAGTGGGAACACGACCGTCTTTATTTCCGCAAACGATGAACATCCACAGATTGACTATTGGTGACAGTCTCTATATTCTGCCTATCATCTAGTGTCTGTTTCAGTTCGGCTACCACACAAACCATACCGTCACGTGACCCACAGCCATTTGCGTAGGCTGAAATTTGTGACCAACCAGATGCGTGCTTCTTTAGCCAAACTGACGAATCATGCGCGGGTTTGATAAATTGAAGCCGCCTTGGACACCACTGAATGCTATACTTGGTATAGATCAATCTAGCTATCCGTGTGTCAGACGTTTTCGTCAGCCTTTAATCGAATCAGCTTCTCAAAACTGGGCCAGTGTGATATCGCTACACAGAGAACCAGTAGATTTTTCTGGGGTCCATATCATCAGTGTCTCAAAAACTGCCTGACATAACTTTGGTCGGGTTTCGTGGCAGCCAGGCACCTAAAGGGTGCTGCAGGCAAACGTTATAAAGCTGTAAGGCAAAGCATACAACAGCGAGATTGCCTGCAGACAACCGTTACAATGTGAGAGTGCACAATAAAGTGATGACAGCTGCAGCCTAGGTATGTGTTGGTCGGCACATACTTTACGAAAGTCCGGAACAAGAGAGAGTAACATGAAAAATGGCCTGATTTGTTCTGCAAGGGTTTAATTTATCACCTTCGGAACTCAAATAATCCAGTAATGAAACAAATTGTCGGATATCTGAATATAACAAAAGGAAGTTGAAATACATATACTTGGGGATCAGTGCCTATCAGGCAGACCGTACAACTTGCCCTGTAGCTGGCCTAACCGAACTATAATATAACGGCAGCACCGCAGAAATTAGCCAGCCACCTTCGTGTTTTAGAACAATGAGCATCCGTGTCTAGCAGTTCCCGGCGTCTGAAGGTAAGTCGAAGATGTTTGTCTGAATTCTTCCATGACACAGCAAACACAGGGGAAGTTGTGTACTTCCGTCTCTAGTAGTGAGAAATCTGCTTGGCGGCATAGCTGTCTGGGAGGTCTTTTTTCGCTTGACTGAAAACGTTGAATTTGCTGGCTTTGGCATCGAGAGACAGGGTCTCACGTGTGTGGAGTTCCAGATGCGGTAAAAAGTGTTGCGGTGTCATGATTTCGGATTGTGGCGTTCGAACAAAGGTCAAAATGTGAACACGATAAGCTGTCCGAATTGGAGCCAGTGATTGATACTATGTAATCCAAGGTTTCGGAGTCGGGCAAAGGTGAAGGTTTGGTTGGGATCAGTAGGTGACAGTTACTTTAGGTGCGTTTGTCAGTTAGGCGCAGGTAACCTGGTTTTGATGTTAATATCCGACCTGCGAGGTCTTCGTAGTGCAAGAGGAGTAGGGCTCACTAAATGACAAACAGGCACGGAAGTCTTAAACTGTTTAAGTTTACCACCAGAATGCTGGGTGAGTACGCGTGTTGATGGTGCTGCCTCAAAATAGTCTTAAACGAAATTCGGTGGGAACGATCAGCGTAGGCCAACTAGATTGCTACTTTCACACCGTGAAGCTAATTTGATGGCAGACCAACATACCAGCCTTCTACTTGTGTATTTTGCAGAACCTTCACACGTAAGTTCCTTGAGGTTCTTCTATGTGTTGGTTGATGTTGGTGACGGGTCTTCAACTGGATTACGTAGTTCATTGTCCGAAATTGCAGGTATCCTGAAATGGAGCAGCCATTCCAAATGGACTGAGCTTAAAACACTCCTTCAATATTTTATCAAAGAAAGTCGGTCAATCTTTAGGCAAAAGCTTTAATTATTGACTCCACCCTGACGCTCAAAAAAATGTCCCTCATTCACGGGCATTTTAGATCTGAGCACTCTTATCTGTGCTGTACAAAGAATGTTAATTTGTATCATGTTCTTTGGGAATGAAAACATTACCATGTGCACGTCGCTAAACTCACTACATTTCCTCAAATGGAAGAACCCGAATCCATTTTGTTTGTTCACATGACTGATAATTGCCTTAACTTCCATTCGACTGCACCTTCGGATTTTATAATGAACACAGCGCAGTAACACTGATGTATGAGTTGGGAAAAGAGTGGACTGTGATTTCTAACTTGGGAGGTTCAAACAGCTGGCTAGCAAAGACAGACGCACAATTTCAGCTTTCATGACGCGTGCTGGTACACTTCCAGACCGGTCTTATTCATGGTCTATAACGAGCCAAATTCATTGTACACCAGTAAGATATGACGAATTTCGGATGCAAGAATACAAAAGACGATATGCTATTGACCTTCCTTCTCGCGAAAACAACCGTGGTCACTTGACGGTGCCGCGATCTTTGGTATTTTAGTGGCAATTCCATGTGCACATGGATACTTACTTCGTTGGTTATTAATTCCAATGACTGGGTGAGTTGTCAACAAACGTTCCATTCTTGTCTGCCGGAAATCAGGACATTCGTTTGGTCGGATGGTCTAACTGTAAAAAATGATATGGCAGGCTTCAATCCAAATCGTTTGAGTTGCATAGAATTCATAAAATTTGCCAACTAACTAGTATCAGTTGTGAAGGCGCGTCAACTTGGGAATGAATAGAAGTTCGTATTCTAGAACCCTGATTACTTCGTCGACAAAACACAAATAGGGCTCAACTCTGTGGTTGTCATCTGCCTCACAAACACAATCATGATCACAGATATAAGCGACTTTGAAGTCAAAATGGCATCACGCTGCACTCACTGTTCTTAATGTGTGCGGGGAAAGAGGTAATGACGTTACCCAACGGGCCCTCTTACTTAACAACCTGGAGAATTGTATTGCTCTGGAATTAGGTAAACTCAATAACCATCGAACTCAATACAACCTCACATTGTAGGAAAAATTCTCCACAAACGAACGATTGATCGAGTGAAGAAGATAATACTATAAGTGTAGCGTATTTACTGAACAAGGTCAAAGTTTTAAGTGTAGCTCAAGCTCAGATTCAGGGCAAATAGAGATAAGCTGCATCGCGTGTCAAACATGCGATGAATACTATGATTACCCAATACTTTTGGAGAAGAAAAACTGGATAAGGCGAGAAAATCAGAGGCTGTCCTTTCTGTTCCCGACTTTTCAGCTCGAATGGAGTTCTTAGTCTCTCGACAGAGATGACATCACACGAAATCTCGTATCACATATTAGGTTTTGTTCAGCATGCAACATTCAGGCCCAAAAAGAAAAATATACTTTATGTCCGGCTGAAAATACTGCCCTTTACTTCTGACATGGACACTCAGTGTACTTCGATACTGTTTTCAGATGCACACATGAATTAAAAGTTTAATATTCATGACGATAATATCCGGTCCCATTTTTCCCCCGGACAGTGAACTCAAATGAGAATTGTGAGCAGACCTGTGAATGAAAAACAAACTCTTAATGGTCATCAAAAGTGTCCCTGTGTGGATTTGCCTTATGGGTATAACTGATTGCCGCCTCTATATTTTTCCACTAACGGACTGCTACTGGGCTTTGCCAGTCAAGGTAAATGCATTGTTTCCTTGCCAATTGCACTACTTACACTAAACGTAAGTAGTCTAATTTTTCTCGGTATGGACGTAACACTGCAAGTGAGGCAACTGCACCGCAGATATCAAGCTACAAATGTCTATGAAAAAATCGACGATCCGCTCACGTTGGTTAAGTGGTTCATCAGAGTTTGCGATTTTATTTCCTGCAGCCATAGGTTCTCATACCATCGCAATCACACCGTGGTTCAACAAACCTATTATGTTTAGGTTCAACAGGACAGTATAAATGTATTGCGTTGAAATTGGTTAAGTTGTCTTTCACCCCTCCAGTTAATTTCGAGTATTGTACTTTGAGGTATGACTGTTTCACACCACCAGTGCATGGGGAAAATGAGAAAATGACTGATACCATACTCACAGAAGTGCTAATGTATCGAGTCATCATTCTAGGCTGTCTAAACATCCGGAGGCTAGCCAACGATAAATAAGGAGAATGGCCTCCTTGGACGGGTAACAATTCAGATGATATGTTTCGCCTTGGAAAACTGCTATGTATTTGAACAGGTATGATCAATGACTGTACGCGATTTGAGAAACGAGCGCACAAATCCATCGCTGTGACGCGGGCCCGACCACCTCTGGCGCACAGAGAATTAGAAGACCGGACCTTGGGAAGAGTGCTTTTACTGCCTCAACCAAAAGCAAAGTACAACGGAAGTAATATCAAATATATAAAGCTTTGAATGAACGATAAATTCAGTGGCACACAAAAAGAAAAAAACTGGCCCATAAGATAGAACCGTAGTCATTTCGTAATTAATCGCAACATGGCAGTGAAGGCGTGGAATCGGAAAATATAACCGTAAATAATGCGAAAAATAAATCGTTTTTTGGGATAACAATGTCTCTAACAAAAATCCCGCTTAATCACTGGACTAATGCGCTTGAGATGAATAAAAGTGACATGCTGTAGCTCAAAGTTAGATTACTTTTATAAGTGACCTAATACACGAACGTCTGAAGACAGTGAGCCAGAGTGATGAGACAACGACTATCTCCCGCAGCTTGGTTTTTTAGTCCGTCAGTTATAGGTTTTGTGCCAAAGGTGCCTCGGTTGCAACTGGTACATCAGAATTTCTTCCTTCTGACGGTTCAGCGTGGGGTCATCTGCGTATGCGAAAATGCCTTCAACCATGAAGCGATAGCTTTTAGATAGACAACAGAAGTTCTCTGGCACATATTAGACAAAAAACTGCTTGGTAGTTAGTTGATCCTGAATGCAAATGATACAACTAGATAGTACTTTTATCTTCCCGAATTGAATGGGCGTTGTCTTTAATGCAAACCTTCGGAGCATATACCACTTTGCTTTATTAATATTAGGTATGATTTTGTTTGCTACTCGTTTGGCAAAATACCGACCAGTACAGCCGAATTGGAAAACGGATTTCTAGACTTTTTAGCTACGTCGAATTTTTCATTCGAAGGAATAAAAAATAACAGAACTGGCGCAGTGAGTTTTACCTGCTGTACGTTGCGCCATTTTCTCTGTAGGCTGGTCGTTTCTGTTTGTTTCGGTCAA